TATATATATATATATATATATATATATAAAGCTGATAAATGTGTGAATGAAAAACTGGAGATTTTCAAGGCTTCTAAGCTATAAAACTTGACTGTTCTTGTGTATTTTTCTTTGTTTTACAACAATTAAAAAGGTCATCCTGGGTGTTGTTTACATCATTTAATCACTTTTACTTTTCACGTTTTTTAAAATAAATGCAGAAAGATCACATGTCGGACAGTTTTCTCAGTAAAGTCAGCCCACAGTTGTTAGAACCAGAACGTTTCATTAGGAGGGGTGACCCCGGATTTAYACTACATGCGACTCCGCTGCGACACACACAGGAGGGAGCGTGTGCAGGAAGGAGACGACGTGATAAATCCAGGGATAAATGTGGAAGTCAGAGCGAAAAATAATTAATTCTGTGAAAGATGAACTCCAAACAGCTGAAAACATTAATATAAAAGCTTTTGATATCTATGGTTGAAACTGTATCACTGTCGTCTTTTCGAAACTTCTGATTTCAAAATAAAATCCACGTGTATCGTGTGTGTACATATACTTCATGCTACATGTTGCCATCTGCTTCCCAAACAGAACCATACATTCTGACAGCATTTGTGCAGAAAAATATTCTGTCGTGTTGTCGTCCGCGTCTTGTCGGCGCGGACGGGCGAAGCGCCGCTGAAAGTCGCCGTTCGCGACGCCAAATCTGTTGTGGAAAATATTCCACTAAGGCAGAAACACGTGAATAAAAGAAAAGGTGCACTGCATGGTTTGGTCGTTAAATGATTTAATAAAGTCGCATATATGCAGAGAATGAGTGACARCCAGACAAACAGAGAATCAGACAGCTCTGTGAAGTTACCACTGCTCAGCCACGGACAGGAAATGCATTTAAATAACTTCCGGCAGGGTCAGTGTACAACAAATAAGAGCGTGACACAACGGTAGAGAGATATCAGAGACCAATGAAATAATTACAARTTACACAYACAACATGAAATGAGCACAATGTGAACTTAGCAGKTGACCAGGATTATATAATATATTTCCACCACATMTCYRTWTATTGATTAATAWAGCTGGGATTTCAACAAAATTATTCCATCTTATGGTGTCTTATTTTRAAAATACGAATGTTGTGTTTGTTCCTTTTCCTATTGGTGCGACATGATCTCTGTAGATTGACTCCAGAGCTGCTCCCGGGTCCGGCAAAAATAGGATCGGGTCTAATTTTGGCTCACCGCCCCGTTGTACGGAGCCAGTGTAAATACTCTCATTGATTACAACGGTTGTGTATTCGTTGTGGAGGTCGGACCGGAGTGGAGACACATGTAGTGTAAATTGGGGGTAAGATGTGCGGACCCTCTGGTCCAGCAAGGTCCACTGAACCACAACTAGAAATGATCTGAGGTCAGTTATTCGTGTGACTGTCAAACACTCTGGCAACTGCCTGATAACACCACCCTCTGCTTGTTCTCAGCTCCATTTCTTGTCCGCCTGTGGACCGAATCACATCCAGATCAGACCGTTTATTTTGTTTTCTGTTTAATTCTTTGCGCATCAAATGTCATCTCTAAAACTTTAATAGATCTTTGCAT